ATGGGAACTGCGGGGGGGGGGCACCCCTGGGTGCAGCATGGGGCTGACGTGGGCACAGTGGCATGGGGGCATCCATGGGTGCAGCATGGGGCTGAGCTGGGTAGATGCCATAGCTGTGGCATGGGGCAGAGCCAGGCACGGTGGGACAGGGCATGTGGCATGGTGGGGCATGGCCAAGTGTCACCCCCTCGGCACTTACTTCATCTGCTTGACGATGGTGCTCTTCCCTGACTCTCCTGCTCCTGTGGGGACAAAGCACGGGTCACAGGGGTGCCTACACCATGGGCACCCTCAGCTTCACCCCACACTGGCCCCCTGGGACCCCTGGTGCCTGGCATGGCCAGGGGACACTGGTGGCCGTGCCAAGGCAGGGGGATTACAGCCTTTTTCCAGTGGGCATTAAGGTTGGGCTGAGCTGCTGTGGCTAATGGGATCTGCTGCGGCTCAGCCGGGGATGTGCTTGGGGACCCACGGGAGGGGTAGGGGACACAGTGGCATTGCAACCCCACCACCCACCACCTGATGCCCCAAGCCTGTGGCAGTACAGGAGGACATGTCCTGGGCTGGGATGGGAAGACAGCAATAGAACCCACGGTGCCACCATGTCTAGAGCATCCTAGTCTTTGGGCACCACTGTGGCAGCTGGGAGGGACTGGGATGGATCTGTAGTGCTGGCGAGGGGGCGCAGGGACAGACCCAAGGGCTGGGCAGAGGGGTGGTAGTGTGGGCTACATGGGGGTTCCTGGGAGGAGGGAGGAGGAAGGAGGTGATGCTGGCGGTGGGGTGTTCATAGGTAGTGTTGGTGAAGGTTCTAGAGATGGGTTGGTTGGGGTGAGGGAGCCTTGGAGTGGGGGGGGATGTTGAGTGGGCTGGTTGGGCTTTCCTAGAGATGGGTTGGTTGGGGTGAGGGGGCCTTGGAGTGGGGGGATGTTGAGTGGGCTGGTTGGGCTTGGGGGAAGCTGGACAATCTTAGGGTGGGCTATTGAGATGGGTTGCTGGGCTCAGGATATCTGGGAGGGCGATCGGGGCTGTTGAAATGAGCTGGTTTAGGGGAGTCTGGGAATGGGGGGCTGTTGGGGTGAGCAGATTAAGTTTAGGGGTGCCGTAAGGGAGAGAGAAATGGTGGCTCTTGGGGTTGGTTGGGCTTAGCTATGCCAGGGGCCAGGGGGGTGTGTGTGTGGATGGACAGAGAAATATGGGAAGGGGCTGCTCTGTTGGGCTGTTTGGGTTTAGGGGTGCTGGGGAGAGCAGACAAACGTTAGGGGGCTGGTTGGGTTTAGGGTGCCTAGGAGCAGGAGGCTCTTGGGGTGGACTGGCTGGGTTTAGGGGGGGTCAGGGAAACATTGGGTGGGCTGTTGGGATGAGTTGGTTGGGTTTAGGGGTGCCTGGGAGCAGGAGGCTGTTGGAGGCACTCTTGGGGTGGACTGGTTGGGTTTAGGGGTGCTGGAGGCACCAGGGGAACATTGGGTGGGCTGTTGAGGTGGGGAGTAGGGAGGTGTTAGGGCTATCTAACTAATAGGGGTGCTGTTAGGGTGGGCTAGTTGGTTTTAGGGTTGCTGGAGGAGTCGGGAAAATGGGTAGGCTGTTGAGGTGGGCTGCTTGGGTTTAGTGGGATGTGTCTGTGGGTTGTCAGAGGAACATTGGGTGGGCTGGTTGGATCTAGGGGTGCAGCTGGGGGTTAGGGGAACTTTGGGTGGGCTGGTTGGGTTTAGGAGGGGTTGTTGGGATGGGCTGGTTGGGTTGAGGAGTGCAGGGAAGTATCAGAGAAGCATTGGGTGGGCTGTTGGGGTGAGATGCACAAAGGATGGGTATCTCCCCTAGGGTGTTGTCCCCCCATACCTAGCAGTAGCAGCTTGACGGTCCTGGCATCCTTCTCAGCGTCCTCCTTGAGCTTCTTCTCCAGCTCGCGGGAGTGCTTCTCCTCGGCGCTGGCCCCGGCGCCCATCCTCGGCCCCGCAGCCCTGCGGCTCACCCGTTCCTTGGAGGTCAGCACCAGGATGGGCAATGAGTTCCAGCCCCCCGCCGCCTCCAGCGCTCGCCTCCCTGCGCCCGCTGCGCCCGCCGCCGACTGCCACCCCTGCCACCACCGCCACCACTGCCCACCCAATGTGGGCCAAGGACGGGGCCAAGGTCCCGGGGGGCCGCCCGGCAGGGTGCTGCGCTCAGCACCCGTGGCTTAAGCCGGGTCCCCCCCCTCCTCTGCCCTCCCTGGATAAACCCCCTTAAATCTGCAGCGGGCTGAGCTCAGCAATCCCATGGCTCCCGGCGTCAGCGCTTCTGCCGGAGGTTGGGGGGCAAGGACGGACAGCCCCCCCCTTCTTTGCCCCCACCCTGGGGTTGGGGACAGTGACTTGGCCACCCCTGGGGTTGTGGGACATCCCCCCCCTGCCCCCAGCTCTGGCTCTGTTGTAGACCCTGAGGGGTTGGAGCTGGGGGGGTTCCACTGAGGTCTGGCAGGGACTGTGGGCAGTGGGTGGAAATGTCCCCCTTGTCCCCGACTCATACTGGTCATCCCCTCTGCTCTGGACCAGTGCCCACAGTCCCCCCAGTAAGCCACCCCAGCGCCCACAGGGGTACCTCCCAGGGGTCAAATGCCTCAATTATCCCACCTTGGGCCCCTTCCAGGACCCTCCACCAATGTCCCCAGACACCCACCAGTACGGTCCCAGTGTCACCAGGCCAGCCCAGTATCATCCCCTAGAGTGTCCCCAGACCTCCCCAGGAACACCTGCATAATGTCCCCAGGGACACCCAAGTGCCCTCCACAGGGTCTCCAAACCCCTCCCAGTAACACTTCACAGCATCACAAGGAGAAATCCCAGTATCTCACAGGTGTCCCCAAGCAATCCCATTCTTCTGCCGGAGGTTGGGGGGCAAGGACGGACAGCCCCCCCCTTCTTTGCCCCCACCCTGGGGTTGGGGACAGTGACTTGGCCACCCCTGGGGTTGTGGGACATCCCCCCCCTGCCCCCAGCTCTGGCTCTGTTGTGGACCCTGAGGGGTTGGAGCTGGGGGGGTTCCACTGAGGTCTGGCAGGGACTGTGGGCAGTGGGTGGAAATGTCCCCCTTGTCCCCGACTCATACTGGTCATCCCCTCTGCTCTGGACCAGTGCCCACAGTCCCCCCAGTAAGCCACCCCAGCGCCCACAGGGGTACCTCCCAGGGGTCAAATGCCTCAATTATCCCACCTTGGGCCCCTTCCAGGACCCTCCACCAATGTCCCCAGACACCCACCAGTATGGTCCCAGTGTCACCAGGCCAGCCCAGTATCATCCCCTAGAGTGTCCCCAGACCTCCCCAGGAACACCTGCATAATGTCCCCAGGGACACCCAAGTGCCCTCCACAGGGTCTCCAAACCCCTCCCAGTAACACTTCACAGCATCACAAGGAGAAATCCCAGTATCTCACAGGTGTCCCCAAGCAATCCCATTCCCCCCCCCCGCCCCCCCCCCTGTCCCCACGCCGCGCCGCTCCCAC